AAGAGAATTTATCGAAAGCTACGTATGCTCGCCAAATACTCTTCTGAATAATAGAAAGAAATATTTTAATAACCAAATATGTGCGCTGATAAATAAAATGAGGAATACAACCAATAGGAAAGAAGAACGCCCAAAATTGTCCCTAAATTTTCTCTATATCAGTTGTATATCATCTCTTTATAAGCTTGGTAAAGAGTTGAGATAAAGATGGCTTCTGAGCCACAATCTTCTCCATGTTATCTCTACATCAACTCTATGTCATCGCTTTATCAACGCTATATGGAGATGACCGAGAGTTGATATACAGACGATATAGAGATGCTAAGGTGTTGATATGGAGTCGATAAATGTGTCCAGTTTGACAATACGGACTCTCTCCTTTCTTAATGATTGTATTTTTCACTTTAAATATCGCGCGCGAATAAATGTTGATTCATATATGCTGTAGTGGAGCCCGAATTAAACTTTCACCTAAATTGCTACTCAGCGTCAGTAAACGAGCTAGAACAATCGACTGGTGCATTGAAGAGGGAAAGTAGGGCGTGGCGGACTCTGCAGCAAATGGACGTATTCATCACAATAGTTAATTTAACGCACTGCACAATAAAACGACCCATCGAGACTTGTAGCAGAGCATGCTGTCACCTAGAGCAGTAACTCAGCCCTTCTCTGGACTGGAGATCATTTCCGTAAAAGCTCCTTATATTAATTGCCTCGATGTAAGATACGAGCAGCCAGCGTTGCAAACTAAGCCATCTGGCGTGAAGACCGGGTGGTGTGCGTTTGTGTGTTTGCTGCGTAGGTGGGCTGCGTCGTTATTTTTCGTCATTGGGTGCGCACGCCCACGTGTGGGCGTGTGTGTGTGTGACGTCATCGCAGCGAGGTGGAGGAAGGGAGGGGCAGAGACAATGGGTGACAGATGTAACGCAAATCTGTCACTATGGCAACTAGTTTGCACGTCAATCACCATCTAATTCTACCCCACACAGAACGCCGACGTAGGTACTGTCGCCTGCTGCGGTTGAACGGTCAGGTTTAAGCACACACGTTACGCATTCTATGATGAAAAAAGGGAACAATTTTTATGGGATACTTTGTTGTTTAGAGTTCGTTTTGGTAGTCAGTGAGAGAAGGCATTTATACTTAAAACATGAACACTTTACCTTTGCTTTATGTTATGGTTTGCAGTCAATCGATGTTCTTTGATTTTGAAATTCTGACTCATTGTGGATGAAAAATTGCGGGTGAAAAATAAGCGAACCCACGTAATCTATGCATTTGTCATTTTAGCAACTCACGAACTGGAATAATTTATTGATTTGATATTTCACCCGTTTACTTAAATCGGATGTGCACAATTAAAGACACGCCATTTGCATACATTCTTCTGCCTCTGTTGTTTCGTATGTCTTTTTACTCAATGTCACACTAGGGGCTATTTTCCAATGCTCAAGCAAATCACTGATCGAGTTCTGGACGGTGGTGTTTAATCCCTCCCCTTCAAATCAATTGCTCTGGCGTATTTCCGTCCCATGCCCCTTGACTTCCTGTATACATTTGATGTACACCGACATATTAAGGTCCTATATTCACATTTACAGCTCGGTAGCTTTTATGTTAAGAGAATAAAATTCACAAACTGAATACTGAGCTGGCCCCACAACATCTTTTCAATTTTGTGCAAATAACTTAATCCTCTCGCTAGTTATTTAATTGTATTGTTGTCGACGTTTCTGCATTAAACAGTGTTGCGATATTTTCAGAATAAAACACAGCCCTTCGTTCTGGAACTACACGTCACCGTACTTAAGTTAAGCGCATTTGTCCTGGTCTTTAAAACTAAATGGATAGATGCAGTCAAAGATAAGGGAATGACAACTCAGAGAGGATTAACGGACGTTAATACGGGCTTGGAAATAGAGTAGAGGTGTGCCACCACGACGTTACAAATCTCTGTATCTTCTGCTCTATCAAAGGAACCGCTAGACTACGATACTTTAGTTAAAGACAGAGAAAGAGCGGACTTTCGGCATACGACAACGCTCAGGGGATGTGCGAAAAAGATACAGGCACTGATAAACGGCCAAATGACGCACATGTGTTCTCGCAATCGTGGAAGAGAAGATAACAAAGCTTCAGGTTACCTAGCAATAGTTGGTGCGGTAGACGGAACACATATTCGGCTTAGCGGTTACCTCAAGCTAGTACCTCCGTAAGCTGAATTTAATTTTAATGCATTCTAGATCCCTTCAATGTTGCGTTAGCTATGCAAACTAGAGGACATCATACAGCACTGCAGATGAGTTCCCAACGATCATGAGAAGACAGAATCAAAAAGAACTGCATTTAACAGACTGTTTAAGCTGGAAAGCTGTAGATTTGTAAGTTTTCAAATTGTAGTACCCCAGGTAATGCTTATGACCCTACGCTTGAACATGAAGATGGGAAAATCTTTCCGCGTGCTAACCCCAACTCCAATACTTATCCTAGAACAACCATTTTACGTAGCCCTTAACTTACTCATAATCCTGAACTTAAAAATTGAGGTCCAGTCTTTTCAAAATTCAATGTGAAACCCATAGGATAAGCATCACTTTCCCCATGCCATATCAAGAGAAATCTGTGCAAATAAGCCTCAAAAAGTGTGCGGATAAGGTATCCCACGTAACCTTATTTGGTAAACTACAATGATTAGGCAGAAGTGCCTGTTTGATTTACAGTTCTTAAATATTTTCGCCTCAAGGTGTTAAACAATGGCAGCGCTCAAAATGTTGCCCAACGAAAGCAAACGTGAACGGTTAATGAAGCCCGAAAGTTAACCAAGCATACTGGTAAAGAGAAATAAGAAATCTCTCTCAAGGCTCGACCCCGGGAGTCGTGCAAATCAACTGACCTTTGACAGTGGATGAAGTCGACAGGAAGTCCAAGCAAGCAAGTCAAGTCAAAACCACCCATAGCTAATCGATATCGTGTCAGGGTTTCAACACGATTGACTGCGACCGCCAATGTTATTATATTTTATCTCTGATTGAATAACGAGACCCAATCCGTAATTGAGCCTATTTACCAATAGAGGTGAATACGCACGCTCCAGGAAGCAGTTCAAAAGAAGGATATGCGGCCACTAGAACAAAAATTATATTTTCCTGACGTTTCGGATACCGTAGGGTATCCTTTGTCATAGGTAATGGTGCAAAAGTCTGAGTCATGCGCAGATAGGGATAAAACAGACACAAATCGCATGGCATTTATAGTTCGTAGTGGCCATCCGCGTGCGTACTGTAATTATCTACGCCTGAAGCCGCCGCTTAGGTTCTACTTGGTGCGATGATGGCTTGACATTACTTTTTCTACTAATTAACTGTCGCCATATCCTTGTCCGGCTTGGATGCGGGCTTGGTAATTGCGCAACCCTTATGCTCGCTGTCGTCAAAGTTGTTGTTGGGGCCGGCCCTTCCCACATGACTGATTCCCTTGCTCATGCAATGTCTCAGTACAGAGAAGGGAAACGCCAAATCGTTGCACTTGTAGATGTACTGGGGGGCCTGACAATTATGACTTGAGCAGCTCACGGCTCACGTGGTTGTCACCTCCTGCGAGGATTTCGGCCTCCTTAAACTTGAAAATATGGCCGAGTCTCATCGATTGAGCTGCAATCTGGGATTTTATGTCTTTCTTCCTCAGTGCCGCTGCATGCTCGGCCATTCACGTGCGGAGTAATCTTCTGGCTCTTCCGACGTAGTTGCGTTGTCCACAACTGCACCAGATCTGGTAAAGAACTGCAGCCGTTTCATGCCGTGGCAGTGGGTCTTTCGGTCTCATGACGCGGCGCCTGATGTTAGCTTTTGGTCTGTGCGCAACTCCAATGCCAAGTGGGGTGAGCAGGCGGCTAACCACTTTTAATGCATTTTTTTAACGTAGGCAGGAGCTCGCTAAATTGTTGGGCCAGTTGGATGTGGTTTCTTTTCTTGTCTGCGTATGTACGGGTTGATAAAATTGCAAGGATAAACATTCACTCTCAGTAGCCGTCGAGGCTATTGTAATTAAGCAACTTTGTCTTCCGCTACGCTGCAATACGTCTCAATGCGCCGTATTCTGCTCTTACGCAGCTGCAGTTGTGACCGATCAGGTAGTTGCTGTTGAATTTCAAAACTTGCGAAGTGATGGTTGCTCTCCTGAACACTTTAGATTTCAGGCCACCACCGGTTTTATGGCAAACGAGGACATCCAGAAAGGCCAGTTGGTTTCTTTCTTCTTCCATTATCGTAAATTGGATGTCCGGGAAGACGGCGTTTAGACGTTCCTTAAATGTCAACACCAGACCCCGCTCAATTGCGGCGAAGATGTCGTCTACATACCAAGCCCAGAATTTCGGTCTGTGGTGTTGAAAACCAGCGTCCCAACCGTTGCAGGACCACCTCAGCTATGAGTCGGGAATTGGATGAAACCATGGGCGTGCCCTTCACCTGCTCGTAGGTAGTTCCGTTTAAGGTAAAGTACGTCTTGAGACAGTACTTTAGGAGTTGGAGGAGTTTGGCGTGCCCGAGGCCATACTCCGTTTCGTCTCGTATGAATAAGTGGATAGCTTTGACTGCCACATCCTGTGGAATAGAAGAAAAACGGACGGAAAAAGGACGGAAAAAGGAAAGAAGGAGATTCGCACACAGAAAGGAAAGAGAAGGTTTGGATTCCACATAAATATGGTTTTTGTGGAGGCCACACTAAGAAAAAACTGTTATGGCGTGACTGTCTGTGTTGAGAGGCTGACAGAATTATTTCTTTAATTAGCAGCATTAAGATACACAAAAGTTGTCCTACATTTCTCAGTTACCTATAGTTTACTGGGTGTGACAAATTTGAACATTTTTAGCTCACTTATACTTTATAGGTTTCTTGCTATTCCTGGAAAAATTGTGGTTTCGAGGTCGTCTGTTTCAACCAACCTGAGGTCCAACTTACTGTTCTGAAGAAATATCAATATAGTTGGCGGCGCTTAGCGCCACGCACTCCTTCAATTTACAGTAGGTTCACTAACTCATGAAATCCACAGATTTTTACAGGTAACTCCCTGTTTCTCAAACGCAACCAAAGCTGCGGTCCCAAAAGTCTTACAACAATATACTAATGGTCGTTATTTACAATAGGGCATGTTGTGATTTATGAAGGAGTATAACGTTTAATAGAAATAC